CATTGGTCCCGCCGGAATCGGAAAAAGTTCATTTTCCGGCGACTTTGACCGGCGGGCGGCGGCGGCGGGGCCTAGAAGAAAAGAAAAGAAGAAATGGGGTCAAATTGAAAATTTTAAAATATATAAAATTCGAATTTGGCCCTAATGACCGGAAGTTAACCTAGAAACGGGCTAATGGCTCATTAGTGAAAGGATTGTGTAAGTTCAGGGATTTTTGTGAAAGGATTTGAAGTTCAGGTACCACTTCGAAATTCTAGCTAAAGTTCAGGTACCATTGGTGAAATTTACCCTAGTAATGTCACGAGAACCGTTCTAGAGTTATACTCCCTACGTCCTATAAAACCTTTCCTGTTTTAAAAATGGCACACCTTTAAAATGAGTAATTTTAATGTTATATTTTAATTATGACTAATTTATTCTACACATCTCATCCTACTCTTTTAAGAAGTAAGAACAAAATTAAAAAATAACACAAAAATTACTCGTTTTAAAGGCGTGCTATTTTTGAAACAGGAAAGGTTTTATGGGACGGAGGAAGTAATACTTAATGACACTCTACTTTTTTTATTTTAAAATTGTATTGATGTTATTATCCTCTTTTCAATAAATTTTTTTATCGTTAGCATACTTAAATAATTACTATATCTCACTATCACAATCTTGGCTTAAAACACACACACACATATCTATGTGTGTGTATTTTAACTTAAGTGTGAGTTAAATTTTTAACAATCTTTTAAATTTTAAGTTTCAATAAAATAATTTATAATTATCTCGTTTCTCCATTTTTATCAAATCAATTATGAAATTATTTCTAACCTTTTATTAATATTTCAAAGTGACTCGTCTCTGATTTAAGTCAATTTTTACAAAATACTTAAATAAACTACTTGTAAGATAAAAGATGTTTGTCGGCAATAAATCAATAAGCATAATCAGAAATATCCCCATGAGGATTCAAATGTGCTTATAGTGAAGAGAAAAGGGCAATAGTGTCAATTCAAATTGAAAAAAATAGAGCATCATTAAAATTAAGAATTATGGAGTGCTAAATAATATCACTTCCCTTTTTATAAAGTTTAAATTAAATATGGAGTATTGAATATAATATGAAATAGATCTTAAACATTCTAGTTTCTCGAACTGGAAAAAAATTTAATATAAAATATATTGTTATAAAAATAATATTATAAGTATATTTCTTTTCTTACCATTAGTTTCTAATGTATACATTTATATTTTTATACAAAATTAGTAATATCGCATAATTTTCTTGTTTTTTCAAAATTTTACATATATAGTTTTTTTTATTTTTTATATTAACACAGAGTCATGAGAATTAGTTAAAATTTCAAGAAATATATAAAGGTCATAACATGTTAGGTCTACTTTCGATGACACTAAATTATAAACATGTAGTTTTCATCCCCAATTCCAACTTATCCAAATCCAAAGTAATTCCATCTTAAAGCGATCCAAATCATCCGACCTAAGTATATTTGATGAGTAATGCTATAAGTTCACAAATAAAATTGTCACAAATTTTACAAATATATTATTTTAGATGTAAATTTTCATTTTTATATTATTTTAATCTACTTTATTTTTTATTAAAATTTATAAATAATAAATTTGTGACATGGTTTTGTTCGTGAATGAACATTTCATAGCACTAACCAAAACGTTTAAAAAAAGAAAGAAAGAATAATCGTAACAAATTGCCCCATTTGCTGCAATCCACATCTGATCTCAAGCAAAACTCCAGCTCCCATCTTCCTGCAATTAGTGCAACCCATGATTTCTATGATTTTTATCCGGCAATTCACAGGGTAAAGGTATTTCATTTTTCCATTTCTTCATCTTCATCTTCCACCGTTATCCTCAAACAAAAATCCAGATACGGAACACAATCTTTTGACGTTTATTGAATTTTCCGATCCTCGTTAGAAAAATTCGAAATCTCAAACACCACCTTACATTATCTTCTATTAGCATTCTGTTTTTTGGAGATTTGAATTGTGAATGAAATACCGCTCTACACATCTCTCACGTTTCAGATTAGTATATTGTGTTCTTATAAATTTAGAAAAAATATAACATGCGCAACAATAATTGTTTTGCTATGTTCGTGCAAATAATGATGACGGTTTTAAAATTTTAGCGCTTTATTCTTGCTTATGACCGTTGTGAGGGGCATCAGGCATGAGACTTAAAACATTACCACTGTGGGTTTTCATTAATTTATACTACTAATAGTGTTAATTAATGTGAATTATAAGTGTAATGCCACCAATCCTTACTAGCTGGGATTAAGGTGCTGGTAATGATATGATGATGATGATGATGAAGAGAATCAACATTTTATTTGTGTCTGTTTTTTAACATTAGATGTATCTATTACCGTAAAATATCTTCATTTTAGAGTTTAATATTGTCAACTAAACCAAAGAAACCTAGTAAATGCCAATCAAGAGTAGTAGAATAGGATCTTGAGGTTGAGATTAATGCAAACTTATACCCGAGTCGAGAGACGGAGAGACTGTTTGTGAGAGGACAAAGTTTTAATTACTCCCTCCGTCTTGAAATAGACTTCACACTTCACCTGTTTCCAATTAAGGAATGAAATGCGCGACTCACAAACTTTCCCCTCATCTAAACAAATTTCAACCAACCACTTCTCACTTTTCTATATTTGTTTAAAACTCCCTGAAGTCAAACTATGAAGTTTAATCTGCGATGAGGGGAGTATTATGTTAATGTACTACATTTACCAAATATGTCTAGTCTCATTGATTTTTTTTGGCTCAAACATTCTTCTTGAAATATAGTTGCAATGAGATTAAATTGAACTTATTTTAAACTAAAAGAGACTTTGAAAAGAACAGTCGTTAGCCAAATAGCGCTCTTTGTATGCACGCTATTAGTATATAATTCAAATGTGCAATCTTTTAATCCGTTTTATATGGGCACACACACACACATTGCATTGTCCTCAGTTTATGTTGCTGGTTTTAAAGTAATTTAAGGCTTAATATAAAATTAACCATTTTTACTAAATAAGGCATGGATACATTATTGGGAACCAAAAAATAGCTATCATTATTGCTATATTTAGAGCTTTTAAGGTGCACAAATCCACTTTACATTTTACCAAAATGCCCTTTTAGACTTTTAGTGAAGAGCATGCATGCCCTTTTAGTGAAGAGCATACCCTTATTTTTATTAGAGTTTCTACAGTCAGCCTTGCAATGGATGCTACATTATTATTATTATTATCATTATTGTTACTATTATCATTATCAGTATTATAATAATAATAACTATTATAATTATAATTTTAATCATTATTATAATGTGTAAGTATATATGCTATCTGATTTTCTCATTTCCCATTCCTGGTTCCATTTTTCAAGCTTAATTTTCATTTGTCTGTATAGGAAACTCTGGATGAGTAAACAATTGTCAGATGTGAAGTTGCAGAGCTGAGGGGGACTTGTGATTGTTTCATGGGCAACACATGCCGTGGATCTTTGGGAGGCAAGCATTTTCAGGGCTACACACAGCCCGAAGATCATTCCATTTCCAAATGCAACCCGTCTTCTGGCTGTTCTAAATCACACTCTGATAATATATCTTCACCTACAAGGCTACCTTCTTACCAGAACCAAGATATTGCCAAGGATACCCAACCCAACTCAAGCAAAGACCAACTCATCCCTATCATTTGTCCCGGAAAGGAAAAAATGCACCGCTCTACCAATAACCAAGCTTATCATGTGCTAGGTCATAAGACTGCTAACATTCGTGATCTGTACATGCTGGGCCGTAAGTTGGGCCAAGGTCAGTTTGGCACCACTTATTTGTGCACTGAGATATCCTCTGGCATTGAGTATGCTTGTAAGTCAATATCAAAAAGAAAGTTGATCTCGAAAGAAGACTTAGAAGATGTGCAGAGGGAAATACAGATAATGCACCATTTGGCTGGTCACAAAAACATTGTCACTATCAAGGGGGCATATGAAGACGCTTTATATGTTCATATTGTGATGGAACTTTGTAACGGTGGAGAGTTGTTCGACCGTATTATTCATCGAGGGCACTATAGTGAGAGAAAGGCGGCTGAATTGATTAAGATTGTTGTTGGGGTTGTCGAGTCATGTCACTCACTTGGGGTTATGCATAGAGATCTCAAACCAGAGAACTTCTTGTTGGTTAACAAGGATGATGATTTCTCTCTAAAAGCAATTGATTTTGGGCTCTCAGTCTTTTTCAAACCAGGTAATGTGTGTGTGTCTGTTAAGTATATACTACTGTTATTTTCATATTTGTAGAATTAAATATTACATTGATTTTGTTTTAAGTATATTTTAGTCGCGAAATGATTTTGGATTATTATGAAATTTTAGGAGGATGATTTATATCTTTAAATCCAACGGTGGGTTTTATACTTTTATATGGAAACAATATGAGTGAGAGATATCAATGTTGTAGAAATGCCGTAATACACTCAAGTGTTGTAACTTTAGCCGTCCTCTCTCTCCCTCTCTCAGTTGTAGGCTTGTAGCCCCTCATTCTTTCCCCAAACTAGCTTCATTTTTTCTTTTTCTTCTGGCTTGAAACTATCTATTCGTCTCCATTTATGGAAAGAATCATGTGGCTCATATCTTTTAATCACCTTTTAAAATAAATTTTAACTACACAATGTAACTTTCTTAAGAAACGTGTCAAAAGCAAATGAGAACCTAATCTTGGGACATAGGGAGCATTAGATTATCTAGCCACATCACTGCATTAGTTACATACTTGCATTCATTATTACTAAAAACATCTAGAAGGCCCTCATTGGGAACCCCGTGATGTGCACTATAGGGAGTATTAGATCATCTAGCCACACCACTGCATTACTTGCATTAATTATTGCTCCCTCCATCCCAATTCATTGTGTTGCTTTTCCTTTTTTCGTTTGTCCCAATTCAATTTGTCAATTTCCATTTATTAAGCAGCTTGTGGTGGTGTTTCTCTCTCTTTTACATATAACTCAACCAAACAACAACAATAACTACAAACCCACTAAAATCCAATCGAAATAGGGTGTGGGGAGGGTGTGTCTTTTGAAAGTTGAGAGGTTATTTCCAAGAGACCCCCAACTAAAATACAGTCATCGTAAGCCAACAAGGAAGACACAAAACACTAACAAAGAAGTAGCAAAGAGCAAACTAAGGGCATATAGAAGCACAATTAATTTCATTCTATTAAAAATTGTTCCCAGACAAACTAGGCACATTAATTTGTGGTGGAGGGAGTATTTAAAATCTAGAAGGCCCTCATTGGGTGTCCCATGATGTGCACATTAGTATATCTTTTTTAAGAATTAATGTGCAAACATGATGTGGATGATTATTTCACTGCATAACTCGTGACTAATGATGCACCTGCCTCCCTTTTGGATGCCGGATCTTTTTCAGTTATCTTATTGACGTCTCACAAAGTCACAAGATAACCAAAAAGTCCACTATTAGGACTGGATTGTTTTAATGACATATATTTATTGCTATATCAGGTCAAATTTTCACTGATGTCGTTGGAAGCCCATATTATGTTGCTCCTGAGGTGCTTTTGAAGCATTATGGTCCAGAAGCAGATGTCTGGACAGCAGGCGTCATACTCTACATTTTGCTAAGTGGTGTACCTCCTTTTTGGGCTGGTAGGTATACAACCCTGCAAGGAAAACATACAACTTTGTTTAACGTGCTAGAAATTCTTGTCATGCCCTCTTTTCTGTGCTGTAGCTATTACATTATGTATACATGATAATTTCTTTGTTTTCCATCCATTGGAACTTACTCATGTCTTCTTCAGAAACACAGCAGGGTATTTTTGATGCTGTGTTGAAAGGACACATTGATTTTGAGTCGGACCCTTGGCCCTTAATATCAGATAGTGCAAAGGATCTAATCAGGAAGATGTTATGCATGCGTCCATCTGAGCGCTTAACTGCTCATGAAGTATTATGTATGTTTTCTATTGTCATTTATTAAATTTGAAAGAATTCACTGAAGCTGCTTGGCATGAAAGTCTCTCTATTACACCCTCCGTCCCTTATTTATCTCATAATTTGACTTCACACCAGTTCAAGAAAGTGGAATCTATGTGGTTGAAATTTGTTTAGAGAGAAACACAATTTTCAACCACATATGAAATATGAAATGGTTTGTGGTGAGGAATAAAAGAAAAGTTGAAGATAAAAGAGGGACAAAGGGAGCATAATAAATGCCAGTGACTCAGTGCTTTTGTTTAAGGTGTTACTGATAAACAGACAACAAGATTTCACAATCATTCCATCAGCATATTTTCTTTAGGGTGCCAGAAAACAGTCTTATGGATGATTATACTCGTTTATGGTTGTGAGCTATTTGCAGCCTTTTTTGGTTATTTTTGTGAATATGTCTTCAGCACAATAAATGCAGCAGAATAATAGATGAGTGAACTTAATGAACTTTGCAATTTATCAGTTTTAGACTTTTAGTCAACCTTTTCATCCAAGTCCATACATAGCTTCAGGTGGGTTATTAGAGTTTGATGTGAGCTAGGGAGCTTGATGAGATGACTGGATAATACTTGCTATATGTATTGGTTTTTATTTTGAAGTTTACATTAAAAAATTGTTTACTTCTTATACAGGCCATCCTTGGATTTGTGAAAATGGGGTTGCCCCTGATAGGGCATTAGATCCAGCTGTACTCTCTCGCCTCAAACAGTTTTCAGCAATGAACAAATTGAAGAAGATGGCCTTGCGGGTATTTATCATTTATTTAATTTTTCTTTTCCTCAACCAAGTAATTCATAAGCCTTACCTTATCATTTCTTTGGGTTGGGCAATAAGATTTATGAGTAGCAACATGCAAATATTAAGTTTTTAGTTCATGTTTGTTCCTCTAGGTAATTGCTGAAAGCTTGTCAGAAGAGGAGATTGCTGGGTTAAGAGAGATGTTTAAGGCCATGGATACTGATAATAGTGGTGCAATTACATTTGATGAACTCAAAGCTGGCTTAAGAAAATATGGATCTACTTTAAAGGATACAGAGATTCGAGAACTAATGGATGCGGTAATTTTTCTGTTTATCAAGGAATCAATTCAACCACAAGCTCAAGCCTGATCTTGTGGTTGTAGGTCTAGAAAAGGTTTTGTACTCTTACATGCCCGCTCACTTGCAGACATTTTTTTGCTCGAGCCTTGCACGTGAACACCAATGTTTTAAATCTGAGCAACACTGAGGTTCGAACTTGTGACCTCTAGGTCACCAAGGCTTTGATGCAATGATACCATGTCAAGGAATGAATTCAACCATGAGCTGAAGTTTGTGGTTCAGAAAAGATTTTATACTCTTACCATGTTTAAAAAATGTATTTATATCCTAAATATTTAGTTTTGGGCAGCAAAATCGGGCAATTATGTAAACTTTGCAAAAATGCTAAATTGCACGAGTATATTATTTAGAAATGAACTATAACAGAATAACAATCTATGAGTCTGTTGATCTATCTGGAATCACTGCTGAAATCCCTCACACTTTGAACTGTGAACCTGTGAACTTGTGTTAGTGTCTTGAAATTTCCGATCTGTATATATTGCTGAGTATTACTATTATTTTCCGATTGGTATATTTTGAAGTATTACTATTATTTCCAGGCGGATGTGGATAACAGTGGGACCATTGATTATGGAGAATTCATAGCTGCTACTATTCACCTTAACAAACTAGAACGTGAGGAACATCTGATGGCCGCGTTCCAATATTTTGACAAGGATGGGAGTGGATATATTACAGTTGATGAGCTCCAACAAGCTTGTGTCGAACATAATATCACAGATGTTTTCTATGAAGATATTATCAGAGAAGTGGATCAGGACAATGTAAGTCGATGATAATAATATCATCTTCCTTTGCTCTGGAGATAATAATATCTCTTTTCCTAGAGTCTCCTTAGGCTCTAGTCAAGGACTAAAAAAAAGTACTCATTTACACTCATGGTGACATGTCATCATCTTCAAAAGATCAGATAATATAGTAAGATGTTACTTATGAGGATACTATAGTTACATTTTTTTGTTGGTGGCCAGTAGTGTAGATGTCGCAGCTTTAGTAGTGTATCCTTTCGCAGATCTTGTAAACTAACATTAGCTTTTTCAAAATATATCCTTGATTTAAGATACTCAATCTGTACCAGTGTTTTTGTCCGGCTTCTTTTTGGCACGTGGACTAAGAAGATGGGAATAAGGGGAAAAAAGTGTCCTAATTGCCCTTACTTTGGGGAAGTAGTTAAATGGGACATTACATGCTTCATTTCTTTGCTTTAAATGGAAAGTGGATGAATATGCTGAGATGAACCAAAAAGAAATAATGTGTACAAATACACCGGGATGGAGGCAATTTTTTTTTTTGTTTGGATGCACATGCATCTTTTTCTGGATGCTCCCTCTCTTTAATTTCTCTCTCACATGCCCGTTGATGGATTTGTACTGCAGGATGGAAGGATTGATTATGGGGAGTTTGTTGCTATGATGACAAAAGGAAATGCAGGCATTGGAAGGCGAACTATGAGAAACAGTCTAAATATAAGCATGAGAGATGTACCAGGAGCTCATTAGCTTTTTTTGTCAGATGCAAGTTTAGAAGTAGTTTTTCTCCAAAGTCTTTTGTTGCTGGAAATCAAACTGTAATATGTTTGGCATATCAGAAAAAGAAAATTCCAGTGGTTGGTTCCAAGTGTGGATGATTTGATTTGGTCGGTCAGCAAGGGGTCTTAATTCGAGAGCATTCAGCATGGAGTTTGTTTTGATATCTGTTGAATGGGATTACGTTTAGGCTGTACAGAAATGAAAGCAGGTGTGATTGACGAGAAGTGCTTGGAATTGGAATGAACGATCTGAGAGAGGGGCAATGCATGTAATACTTGTCTTCATCTGTGTCAGTGGCTGCGTACGTGAAGATATGTATATTTTGTTGTGGAAAATTGTTATAGGTGGTACGTTCTTCAAAGTAGCTGCTATTAGTTTGTTTGTTTCCCAAGTAATTGTTTCTTCATATGTGACTGAGGCGTGTGCTTACTTGGAAATGGTGTTGGTTTCATGTGTTTTGAAATGACAGAGTATTTTTTACTGCATTATTATTATGTAAGAAAAACAGTATTTTGAATGAAGTTATTAGATACGCGCGAGTACTTGGATCACTGGGATTCGAAAAGGATCTTGAAAAGCTAGCTAGGTAGATGGATGAGGGGTTGATAGATATATAGTGTACAGCTAGGTCAAGTGAAGTGTTGTTGTACACCAATTGCTTCTAAAGTAAAAGCATGCAGGTAATGTGACATCATGTGCCTACGCGTTTTTAGCTTTTAGGTGTTTAATCTGTTTGTGGCAAATAATGATACATGTATACATACATTGATAAAGCTATTTGTACCCCAAACTTTTGTACCCCATTTTGTACACTGCATGTTTGCACCGACATTTTGTGTTGGTGTAAAACTAATTTTTGTTAGCGCACTAACACTTTGTGTCCGTGTAAATTTTTGTTAACGCACCAACACTTATGTTGATGTAAACTATCAAAATGTTTGTGTATAACTGTGGTGTACAAATGAGGTACAATTTTTGGTGTAAGTGTAGCATGGTTCTTTTTGGTGTAACTGTAGCATAGTTCATACATACATATACAGACAGACAGGCAGCAGAGTGCAAATATATACTCTGCTAGTATTTACGGGATACAAAGTGGTGTCGGTGGAATTAGGGATGATGATGATATACATACATACATACAGTATAAAAGAAGAAATAAAAGATATACTCCGTATCATATATGGATGAAGAGGCCAGGGGAATGTATAAATGCAATAAATACAGAAGGACACATGCTATGGTCCGATCCGCCGCCATTAACGTTGCTTGCTTGCTTTGCTTTGCAGCTGGCTACGTGGGGCGGCATTGAATATATATAATGAAGATATAACTATATACGGAGTATATAAGGAGCTAGCTAGCTAGTGTCGGACTGTCGGTGCAACCCAACTAATCATCCGGCCAGTATTATATTAGGGACTGACGACGACTGTGTTTGATTAAGTAAAAAAATTGGTTGTTGGTTTGATTTTATGATATGTGTTGAACATAACCCAGCAGCATCAAAATAATTGGGCATTAAAAAAAAACAGTTGGAATAGACAAATTAAATAAGGGTGTGGATCTTCTCTCCTTCCCCAGCTCCAATAAGTTAGGAGTGAACAAACATTATTTACTACTCCTAACTTGAGAGACAATTGAAAAGGCGGCATTTACTCCTAACATGGACCAATTATAAAATTACTCTAATAATAATAATAATAACAACAATAATAATAATAATAATAATAGATCATAGTAATATATACGGAGTAGCATCATTAAATTAAAATAAATGACTGGATGGATGAATGGGTCGATCTGTAGTAGGAGAGTACCATCTAGCTAGCGGAAGTTAGTGCGAGGGAGGTCCGGCCTGATGATGATGATGATGATGAGTAGAGACTCGTCCTAATAGCCTTTTCCTCAGCTCCGAGTAAAAGAGGTGCATCCACCGCCCAGGCGGCGGCAGCGGCGGCGTTGATGATGTCTTCTTCTCCCGCCTGCTTGACACCAACCAGGACCACCCCCGTCTCCACCAGCCCGCCACCGCACTCGCCTTCACATTCCTCAGCGTTGTCGCCGTCGGAGCTCGTAAATGGTTCTTCCCCTTTCTTACATAGTAGGAGGAGGCGGCCCAGATTCTTTTGCGGATCCCCATTCTTCCACCACCGCCGCCACCACCACCACCACCAGGTTGGGTGACAGGCAGCACTGATCTATCTTGCTTAACAAACATACTACTGACAATATAACAATATATAGCTAGATCAGAAACATAGATAGATAGATAGATAGCAATGCCAGAATCAAGCTATATATGCAAATGAAGTAATGAGCTGAGCGTGCTACATTTTGATTTATATATAAGGGAATTTACTCAAATACTACTAAAACATACTCCCTCCGTCCCCAATTTGATTACAAATTGTGGGTTACGGTGTAAAATTTCTTTTTGAAATCATTTTATTTACAAATTGGTATATCAATAAGATATAAAAATTACTCCCTCCGTTCCATTTTAAATTGTCTGTTTGCCTTTTTTCTTCGTCCCAAAATAAGTTGTCTGTTAGTTGTTTTCGTAAATTTTTAAAAATAAAATACCTAAATTACCTCTAAAATAAGTCACTCTTCTTCACCTTATCTTCTCATTCATCATCACCCCTTCTAAAAAGTAATGACAATTTTAGAAAATCAACTCGATTTTTTATTTTCCTTAAATATGCCCAAAAGTCAAAACAGGCGATTTAAATTGGGACAGAGAGAGTACATATTAAAAAACTAGATCAAAAGTTCTATAAAACAAGAGGTGACAAGAACATTTTATTTTATCAAATATTTAATGAAATCTCATAAACAAACAAAAGTTATCGAGAGGAAAGAGAGAAAAAAATTGTAATCTATTTGGGGACGGAGGTAGTAGTTATTTTTCCAATGTAGTACTATATATATTTTTATTTCTCAAGTAACACTGATCATTATTCACTAATCATTGTTCAAGAAATATCCACCGACACTGGACATTGTTCAAGCTAAATGCCCACCACCATTACTGGATATTGTTCCCGCCACTAGACATTATTCAAGTACTACTTAGAGAATTAAAAAGTTTAAGTTTTACATTAGAAAAGGACATATGTTTTAGTACTAGGTATTATTTTGTGCAAATTTCACTTATATGTTTATAGAACGTGAGAAACAGCCCAAATTTTCTCTCCCCACCTCCTAGTAGGAATCAATTTCGAAATTAATATAATACTCCGTAATCAATATTAATTATGATGGAATTCATATTTTAGTTAATTTCTATATTTAATTACTAAGTATGTTAAGAATTCTTTTTTTTATATACAAATAATGTGATTAAGAGTCGTCTCTTTTATTATTCTCAATCGATACAATTATTTTGATTATTCAATAGACTACAAATGTTATAAACACTTCGGCAACAATCTTTTTTTAGGGTCGGCAACAATCATTTATTCAAAGAAATATCGTCTTCGGCAACCATTTTAAATTGTTGAATGATCAAAGTTATTTTCAAATGACTTTATATAAAAGTTGCGTATAATTAAGAAAAATATTATTTATATATTTAAATATTACATTAAAAGCTCAATAAAATAAGATCTCACATGAATATATTATTTTTTTCAAATGAGTTATAAAAATACATAAAATAGTGATTAAAGTTTGAATATGTGAATTACAAGCAACCTAAATTGGAAGAGAGGAAATACTATATACTCTCCACAAACAAATTTGTTAATCCGTGTATATTGGTGGTCTATATTCGCCATCTCTCTATTCAAAAAGAGTAATGCTTAGATGGTCCAAGATCCACGTTTAAAGTATGGATCTTCTTACAATTTTTTTTCATGGATTTGCATGTGTATATTTTCTTTTTTGAAAAGGTCCACTTCTTTTATACTACAAATACACTACAGTCTATATAATGAGCATGAACCTTAGATCCACTGAAAAATTTGTCATTAAGACAAAATGCTTGTGTTGGTTACATTTTCCCCTTCTAATTCATCTACCATACTACCACATAATTCCACTTTTACTACTCCCTCCGTCCCGTTTTAAATTGCCCGTTTTGACTTTTGGCATATTTAAGGAAAAGAAAAAATAAAGTTGATTTTCCAAAATTATCATTATTTTTTATGAGGGGTGACGATGAATTAGAAGATGAAGTGAAAAAGAGTAACTTATTTTAGGGGTAGTTTAGGTATTTTAATTTTAATACTTTACGATAACAACTAACAGGCAACTTATTTTGAGACGAAGAAAAAAGGCAAACAGGCAATTTAAAATGAGACGGAGGGAGTAATAAATTGTGCATGTCATATTAATGTGGGAGAAAAACTTTACCACCTCCGTCCTAAATTGAACTATAACTTCCCATTTACAAGGTAATTAAAACTCGCATTTTTAAAATTAATTTATTTATAAATTGATATAAAAATAGTTAATAAAATTTATATACTAGCTCCCTTCGTCCCTAATTAGATTGCAATTTTTTTCTCTTCCTGATAATTTTTATTTATTTTTGTGTTTTCATTTTCAATTTGATAAAAGAAAATATTTTTCTCACCTCTCATTTTGTAAAACTTTTGACATAATTTTTTTATATATAATTTTTATTTCTTATTAATGTACCAATTTGTAAATTTTTAATTACATCCAGTTTCTACCGATCGATCACACGTACATGGCCAATGCTTGTCACTACAAGTGTGATCGTAATAATGACAATGTTCCTCAATCAAATTATGTCAATCCGTTACCATTGTTCTGTCAACCAAACAACATAAACTGCTTTTTTTTCAAGTCCATAAATAGAGTTTTCAGGTGTGGTGCCATGCCAAGACCCAGACTGCCTTTATTTTTCCTTCTATTTTTTAATGCAATAATCTGCATCTTTCTTTAATAGTCACATAAAAACTGGGGGTTGAGGTAAGTTTAACCCAAAACCTCATTGTACTTGAAGACGCAATCGTACAACCTTCCCCCAAGGAACTGTGCCACCTCTGGGTGCTTTACCTGCAAGTAGAAACTTTGAATTAATAAGAAACAAAAAAAACTCAAATCAATTATGAGAAGCCTTGTCATTGGATTTAATTTTGAAATATATTCATTAAATTTAAGCAATCCGGCTCTAGCTTTATCTTAAAATATGTTGATAATCAAGCATGTCAAATTTTAGAAAATTTGAACAATAACCACATCATCCACTAAGGCACTAACCCATATTAGTATCATCACAAATATTAACATTGTTGATGAGTGGATGATGTGATTATTATTATCCAAATGTCCTCAATTTCAACATACTTGATTATTAACATAATATGGAGTATAAGATAAACTGTGGCCAGATTGCTTGAATTCACTGCAGATACAACTCCCGGAGTACGTGAAAACCTTCACGTGTGTGGGTGCGTGCATGTGTGTGTGGATCATATGAGCACCCTTCTTACAATAGAAACCATCAAGCTGGATTCTAAGTTAAAATATCTCTTCATTTTTTATTCATTTTTGTCATTGAGTGGTCGAGATCATAATTGAAGCCAATTACCATTCCAATCTTAATAGAATCACATTTGAATTGAGCATATAAGTTAGTTTCTATTCCACGGCCCTGCAAAAGAAGCAGATGCATAAGTTGGAAGGTGAGGGTGATTCCGTGCAGGGTCTTCTTTCCTACAGTAAAAACAAAAGAATTACAGTGCAACCAACAATCACAGGATCACTAAGTCAGCTCACCATGCCCTCCAGAATGACAATGTCAGCATCACTCGCCAGATATGCAAGCTCCTGTGATATTCTGGTAAGATCTATAACCTGCCATAATAAGTACTTTATTGTCATTGTCTGGGCTAGGTTTGGTAGCCCAGTGATTTTCGTTTAGAAAAAAAATAGGGAATGACATGCTGTCACTAAATGATCGATGAAGTAGTTCAAGATCTGTATACCTTGTTATCTATGCATAATACTCCCTCCTTCCCAAAATAAGGTTCTCGTTCTTTATTGGCAGGATTAAATAAAATAAAATTAAATGGAGATTCCTATCTCCCTTTGATATATCTTCTTTCTAAACACATTTTCATTGATCATTTGAAAAAACAAAATAGTCAAGTCAGATTTTGTTTGTAGAACTTTGATATAGTTTTTAAATACATAAATTTTATTTTTTAATTCCATACCAACTTTCAAATAATTTAAAATGAAAATAACTTCAATCAAATATGGCAAACCAAAATGAGAACCTTATTTTGGAATGGGACGGATGTAGGTTTTTTTTTAGTTTTAATCATCACGGGGGGTACTGGTGCTATTTGGCCTTATTAAGGGTAATACTTGGTATACACCTTGGTGTATGGCCAATTTCACAAACAAAGCTCGGCTATGTTGCTCTTTCACTTTAATCATTCAGCTTCTAATCTGGGTAACTGGATTGGATGAAACAATCCGAATGAATTCTATTGCTCATAGTCCCTATGGGATCGCATTTCAATACTCTTGCAATTATAACCGTTAGTTATTGCTGCACTTGCCCTAGACAGTTTCATTATAGCTCGTGAAGCACATATCAATATTTCTTCCAACAATAATGTAACTTTTTTTTACATGTTTGTCAGTTTTGTAGAACAAACTACAACAACCCTGCGAAAGCTTCATAGAAAATCGAAATAAAATCTAATTCAACTATTCAAGTAATTATTTCATAACATTAAATTTACTATAAACTGCTAAAATATTTTAATATTACTATATCTCTACAATATATATTACTGTAATAATTACTACCCGCTTCCTATTTTTGTCCTTTTTTACTTTTTTCTGTCCATCTCACTACAATCATATTAAATTTTTTAATGTACTATTTTGCATCAATTTCAGTCACATAAATCAATGTTTCTTAAATTTTGTGCCACTACCCCCTAAACCCAAAAATAAAGGATGGTGTAGGTGGGAGTATTACTCCCTCTGTCCCCTAAAGAAGTCTTATTGAAATTTTAGTATGGGACAATTGTTGGAAATAATCAAATACGTCTATATTTTATAATTTATTTGTTGGCTTAACTAAACAAAACACAATCAACTAACTTGCTTGGGACATTTTTTTAGTAAAAAACATTAATTATGATGAGAAAATTGGACTGTTTATATGGGGCACATGGTGTACAATACTGTAATTTTCTCTTTTTTTTGGTCCATGCCTTCAAACATTTTAGAATATGGGCAGGGACAGGCGATATTGGAGCAAGCCAAACCATTGGCTGCCCTGATTATAACGAAGGCCACAATGAATATGAGAGCACATGAACAGACAAAACTAATGTTTGTTCCTTACCGGCAAATCATTACCAGAATTTGCAATAAAAAGATTGGAGGTATCAACTCCTGCAAGCTTTTCATGCTCATCCTTCAGCTGTTAATACAATAAAGCGATGAGTGATGAGTATGTCAGATCGAACCTCAAGTATACAGCAATACGGCTGTCAAAGAATAGCATTTCAACTACCTTAGAAATAATATCAATTAGCTCTGTGTGAGTTACATCGTTTATAGAAGGCAGGTCATTAGCTGCCAAAACAACCTGCTTCCAATAAAGCAAAAGGTTGAAATAAAATGTTAAGAAGTGCAAGTCTGCAAAAGCTATTCACATTGTTTAATTACACAATTACTGGAAATTTTCATATTCACAACCAATCAAATTTTAACAATTTGAAATCTAATTATTAACAACGAACTGAGGCATCCTTTATATTCATCAAGGCTTGCAATTAAAATGTCAAAAACCTTCATTGTAAGAAAAACAACAATTATAAGCAAGCTGGAATCAGAAGTTTTTTCAAGTAATGCAATTAAGACTGATAATATTGAATTAATGACAACAAGAACTGTAAAGTACCCATATGGCCCATGCTTGAAGTATATAAGTCAGGGTGAATAAATACAGCTCATATCTTCTAAGGAGACAACTTTTGAAGCCACATATATTGAAAGTTCGGGCATTGAGGACAACTAATAATAAAAATAAAAAAAACAACAACAACAATAATACTAATAATAACTGTATTAGTCAAGCAGAAATTGCCCCTTTGTTTTTACAAGGGTGGGGGGAAGGCAGTGTCAAAGCCAGGTATTAGTTTTTGACTTTCCGTGGAAGCACCGGAGTAAAGCACATCAGTACGCGGGTTTGGGGACAATGTCACTAGAATTTTTTCAAAGCAATATGAATTGACAAAAAAGGGTAAAAAATTTCATCTCAAACAAACATTCAAATAATTAAAATGAGAAAGTCTCAAAAAAAAAAAAATAGAATTTCACTTTCATATTCAATTCTTGTAATTTTAAATGTTTCATTTTAAGATTCTATTATTGTAATTTCAAACTTTTCACTCTCAAATATCCAATAACGAAGTTGTCCATAACTATAATTCCTAATATAACAATAAAATCACATTGTTATAAATTATAATCCAACAGAACAAACAGAGAACGGAGCTAAACCAGGAGACGAAAGAATCAATAAAAGCACATGACCCCCTCTCTTCCTTTCTTGGAGAAAGGCTACATACATCTTGACTTCCAAAACCCTAATGGAGTTAGGACTATACTGGGTTTTGTAGTTTGTTGTGATGAATGATGAAACAACTAGTCAGGCAGAAAAACTGTGGTGTTATTTCATACATTTAGAAGCCATGAGACAGATAGATTTATAGTTTTACCTGTGTCCCACGGCGAAGTAACTCTCTTGCAAATGGTAAAACTCCCAAAATGATATCTGCACCTGAGTTATCAACAAAAATTACAGCCTGTACAAGAGGTAATCAGATCAGTGTGAAAAGGCACTGTGAAGTAAATGCTTATAGTTCAAAAGATTATAGGAAGTTCACCTTTTTCCAACATTTTTTGCTCCATTTCAATATAAATGCATCCAAATCATCAATAACCCATGGTCGAGGAACAAGATTTTGACAGCTGGCAAGAAAAGACATGCCATCATTGGAGAACACCTCTGCAAGCTTTCAAGATATATTGCCAAATATAGGCATTGTTAATGGAAAACTAAAATGGCTACCCTAAAAGCATCTTGGTCTTGCAAGAAATTAGATTCATGATAGTAAGCTTCATTAGAAGAATCTACAAACAAATAGCAATAGAAAGCATTTTCTGAAGTACTTGTATGTGTGGTGAATCCATGTTAGCAAAGATGCAAGACACTCCGCTTTTATACTACTACACTCGGCTTTTATGAATGTTTGTGTCGTCTTTGTTCTAGAAACAAACTTTGAAATTGAAATGTGTGTTCTCCCTAGTTCAGTGCAGTTCATTGACTTCTTTCAAACTTTTAAACAATGGCTATTAGCAAAGGGGTCTTCATTATAGAAGAGTGTTAATTCCAATTATTTATTGGACTAAATATAAATAACATTTCCATACAAATTATTACAATGTGCGGAGTATTTTACATATTCAACAACATAAATGTTATGCAGAAAGTGATGTTAGCCAATGAGTCAAAAATTGCTAAAGTGTGATTAGTACAGTCTATATCTAAGACATACCTGGGCAGAGCCAAGGTCAAATATGTTTCCTGCGAATATTCCTTTAACCAAATTCTCAACGCGCATAGCTTCATCCTCAATAGCATCATTGAGGCGAATTACATGCTCAAATAAGGAAATAGCTTTAGCATTTTCTTCATCCTGAAGATTTTCCAAACATGGCATAACGACACAAACAATTGAGTCTTTGAATTATTAATTGGTTTCATTCATCTATACTTATATACTACTCACTCCGGTCTAGAAAGACGTTCTGTTGCGGGTTATGATGCTTGATTAAAGTTAATTTCAATTCATTTTATATGTAAATTGGTGTAAAATTAAAGAATAAAATCATATATTTATAAACTTCATCAAAAGTTCTACAAAACCAGAGATGACAAGAATATATTATTTTATCAAATGAGGAATGAAAATAGGAAAAGAAAGTGGTCAAAGTTGAATAATGATGATGAAATTCTTTTTGGGACGGAAGGAGTATAGAGCTAACTATTAAGCTGATGAGCCACACAATGATTGGTCAACCATAATTTTCAAATTTATTTTATGTTTAAGAAATTAAATATTTTAACATTTAGATTTTTTAGGGAGGGCTAGGTCAATATTGGCAAACATGAGATAATCGAACAAACTATTCTTCTCTTAAAAATAGGAAGCTTATTTTGGGACAGACAAAAAACATGCACCTCTTTGAGTAATGGAGAGTGGAATATTCATTATTGTGGAACTTGTATTCAATGATTATAGGGTTGTACTATCTAGAGTGGATTGCATGATAATTTCCTTGAAACAATTTAGAATGTTTTTCATTAATAATTAATTGTGACATTGTGTTTAGAAAACAAAAACAAGCCGGACATCCAAGGCGATTCTCAAATGAGTTATACAAAGTAGTTATTCCCTCCCACACCTGCCCCAAGATATCAAGAATCAAGAGCACAATAAATGAAGAATTATGCTCACCTTAACCCTTTTAAATATATCTCTGAATCCCACTTCTCTTAGTACTTGTTCACGAAGTCGGCAAAGAAGCTAAAATGTATTTTAGACAATCAAAGAAACTCAAATTCATAACTAGCACTAGCACCATAAGCGTTATTGATAAAATAAGGAATGAAAGAGTTAAAGGGCAACTCGGTTGCATGTACTTACAATGCAGTCAGGTGGTCCACCGTGGCTTTCAGGATCTTTCTTCAAATCCTCAAGTATTCCAGCATACCTTAGAAGAAAAACACGAGAACTGTTGGAAATTATACATGACATTGGATGTATGAGAATTTGAGAATGTTTCTCAGTTCACCTTGGAGAACCGTTTCTTAATCACTACTTGAAGGACTTAAGCAAATCAAAGATCAGGAGAAAAGCGGACGAGTCTTGTTTTTAAAGATTTAAGCAGCTAGAGTTATGGTCTATTGAGTGGAAATTCCCCATTTTTTTCCAGTATGTGAAACTTGCAGCTCATCAATTAGGCATTTAGATAATCTAAACATAATGGTCGCGTAGGAACAGACCTTTGAGCAAATTTATCAGCTCTCAGTGGAGCATCCGTGACGGAATCGTCACTCTCGGCGCGCTTTCTGCAATTATGAACGATTAGGAGCAAGAAAATAGCAATACTGATGAACTATGATTAGTTTTTAAGTAGAAAAATGAAGGGTGCCAAGATGCCGAGGAAGTCCAGGAGAAATACATTTGTTTCAGGAATAGAGATTAAAAAAAAAGAAAGAAACAAAAAGGGAAAGATGAGGAGTTACCGGAAAGAAGGGATGGAGTTGAGGAAGAGGTTAATCCAGGCGATCTCAGTGGGCGTAGCCTTCTTGGGATTATCGGAAGGGAACCTGTAAGGTATGGTGCATGCCCTGTAATTCGTCTCGATCGGAGTTGGCAGCTGCGGGAACTCTACAAGTTCGCATGCGCTCTCCATTTTCGATCGATCGATCGATCTTCTCCCTCCCAATCTTTCCCAGTTTTTGTGGAATAAATTCCTGCAGAGGGAAGATTTGGTGCAGTCAATTCCCCAGAAAATCTGCTTTGCTAAAGCCGTTTTTTACAATTTTTTTTTTGAAAATTGACTTTGTAAAAGCCGTTTTTTGTAAAAAAAAAAAAAAAAAAAAACAAAACAAAATTGGCTTTGTAAAAGCCGTTTTTTGTTTAAAAAAATTTTAAAAAATGGCTTTCATGATTTTTTCATTGCATAAAATATACACACTTCGTTTAAAAAAAATTGTGCCATTTCATAAACTATTTTTTATAATAAAAACAAATATTTTTTATGATTCAATATATAATTTGTTTTAAAAAAATCAACCAATAAAAATTTAATAAAGAGATGTTCAACAAGAAAAAGAACGCAATATTGAAAACATAAATATATTAAAACATCAACAGAAAATTACATTCTCAACATCTGAAGTAAACAAGAATTACAATACCTTCCCTGAAACAAACTAAAAAGAATATTAAACTAAAATCATCTCTTTGCCCTGAAATCCATCTCGCCCTGGTATCGATTGCGTTGACGTCTCCCTGAACGTGGAATCTCATCTGTTGGCCGTTTGGGAGGTAGAACTTTAAAGTTCCCAACATCCAAATTTTGAGAGAAAAGAACAGGTTGAATTATACCACTATAACAACTCAAATAGTTTTGAACCGAGTACCTAGCCGGTAATATATTGTGAGGAACTTGTTGTCGAAAAGAGTGGTAAACAGCATGAACATGAACACAAGGTATATTATCGGAAGTCCACTGCCCACAAGTGCATACACTATTAAACAAATTGACCAAGTAGTTGTAAATGGAAGAAGGATCTATTCGAGATGTGTGAGTCACTACGTATTGGTTGTTACCGTAGCTTGAGACTGTCCACTTGTGCTTAGTTTTTTCCCGATTAAGTAGAACATTTTTAATTTTGGGAGTAATGTGCATGCTCTGTTCTTGCCACTGAATACCAAGCTTGTACCTTTTAGCAAACAATTCAACCATCTTGGCATAGGACATGGATAAAATGGCAGTGACAGGTAACATTCGACAACCTTTCAGCATATTGTTGAAACTCTCGGAACTATTTGTCGTTAAGATACCACACCTAAACCCACCGTCAAAACAAAGGGTCCATGCCGCACGGGGAATATCATTTAAATACTGATATCCCTCCTCACTCATGTTTCGTATTTCAGCCATATATGGAAGTTTAACAACCTATAATACACATGATGGTCGCCGGGTTTGGTTTAAAAATTCTAGTGACAAGGCCTTGAAACAGTACTTCAACGAGGCTTGCACCGCTTCTGTTTTTGGTTTCATTATCAATCCGGTCTGTAGTTCTGGAAGGTCACGATAGGAGTTGATGATCCCAATATGTCTGTCAGAAATAATACAGACTTGTTGTGAGCCGATAACCCTCTGAACAAGAAGGCGAAAAAACCAAGCCCAACTCTCACACGTTTCTCCGTCAACAATCGCATAAGCTAGAGGAAAGATTTCACGATTACCATTCATGGCAACCGCAAGAAGGAGATGACCCTTGTACTTTCTGTACAAATGAGTTCCGTCCACCGTCACTACAGGCATGCAGTATTGTAATCCATGTATTGCCGCGGCGAACGCCCAAAATGCATACTTAAAGCGCGGGGTCTCTTCAGGTGTAGCATTAAGGTTTGGTGGTTCGGATGCATAGACAACATCGACTACAGTTCTTGGATAAGAATTTTGTAAATTGTACAACATAATAGGAAGTTGAGAATACGAATTCTCCCAACTACCATACAACAACTCTGTAGCACGGATCCGAGCTAACCAACATTTTTTATACGACACTGGAACATGAAATTCCTGTAAAACATCATGTTGGATTAACTTCACTTTGTACTCAGGATCTACACGTACTTTTCCGACAATGAACTGGGCAATGGAGAAATAATCGATGTTTAAATCATCTCCACCGTGAGAATAATCCGGATGACAAGTGTGCACGTCTCGCAATTGTTTTATTTTCCACACTCCAGATTTTAATCCTTGTGCTTGAACACGCCAAAAACAGGGTGGGCTTTTGTTGTAATACCAACACCGACATGCCCATGATCCCGCTTTTTTGTATTCGTTTCGAAAAAAACGATTGTTCGCCACACATTGTTTTGTAACCGCATCCTTAAGTGATTCAAAATTGGGAAAGGTCATACCTATTGCAAGAGGGCCATTAGACACGCCACCAGAAATTCCTCTTACACCAGCTTCAGCTTCCATTTCATGGATCCAATGTTCTTCTGTGTCAATGTCATCGTCCGAAGGAATGTACTCTTCATCATCATCAGAGTCAGGGTTGTCAATAACTTCATCTGCAATCGTCTCCCCCTGCGAACGAACACGATAATCACGTCTCGATGGACCGGCCTCATCTCCACCCGCACGAGCACTGTCGATGTATACTTCTAGTAAACCCAAGGGAATGGCCTTTTGGAAAAATATTTCCCATAACCTATCACTGTCGATGCCCATCAATTTCATCGAACTGATACCAGGGACGGAGTAAGGAATTTTTCCAGATATTTTGGATATAATCCCGTAACCATCTGCCGTATAATGTGATTGAATTTCTTGGCGAATATTTTCCCAAGACATACTCGAATTAACCATCAAAGTTTTTTGATATTCCCTTGTGTAGGAAATATCTCCATTACTTTGAATTATTTCTCCTCCCCAATATATATTTAGAATTTGGTTTTCTAAATTAGACATTTTATTGCTCAGTGTAGTATGTATTAAAAGTGACATGTATGGAGATTTATACATGAAATTTTATATATTTTGGCTTTTTAAAAACCGAAATATTCCCTCTTTTTTTTCAGATTTCAAAATTCAAAATTTTTGGCTTTGTAAAAGCCGAAATATTTACTAATTTTAAAAATTTTCGATTTTATTTTTTTTGGCTTTGTAAAAGCCGAAATTTTACCTCCTTTTTTTAACATTTCAAAATTCAAATTTTTTGGCTTTGTAAAAGCCGAAATTTTGACAGTTTTTTTAAAATTTCGAAAAAAGGTTTTTTACTGTAAAAGCCGAAATTTTTTATACAGTTTTTCTAAAATGTCAAAATCCAAAATTTTTATTTTCAAAATTTTAAATTTTTTGGCCATCTAATTTCGAAATATACTTTTTACGTAATATAAGTAGAGTTACATGACACAAGAATTAAAAATTTAAAAGAACAAAATTATTTTAAGTGAAAGAAAGTAGAATCCATTACATGACCGAAAAATAGAAATTATAAATTACAAAAATCCATGATTACAATAAATTTAATTAAATCCACGATTGAACCAATAATCCATCACCGGGCTGTTATCAAAGTCATGCGGCATGGACGAGGATGCGAAGTTATCACCACCCAAATTGCGTGTGTCAAATTGTGTCGCACCATTTCTCGATGGAATGGATTCCACGGTAATTTGGAATGGATTCTCTCCTACAATGGGCTCCATTTCATGGAAAATGGTAAGGGCAAAGCGATTATCCCTCCATTGCGCCACACATGCTTGTACCGTCTGGGTCGATTTACATCCCTTTGGTTTATGATATGCCTCCGTATACGGATGGGTAAGCTCAGGAATGGTTTGCAACATCCCAAACTGTCGTGTGAATCGCATAGGCATGACAGGCTTAATAATCGAACGATAAATAACATAGCCTTGGAAAGTCCATAGCTGAGGACTACGACGACAATAAGCAGGCAAGTTATCAATATCGTACGGTTGCCAAACAACCTGTATATTGTCAGAACTATTATTAGTCAATCTCTGATCTATTTTTTTACAAATTATTTTCTAAATAATTTTATGAATATTAATCTTACGTTTCGGAACTGCAAGCAGTCAAGCTCATTCCTTAAGTAGCGTACATTTTGCCTAGCAGAGGCACTGTACATCTTGGTCTGTCTCCACCTGAATAATAATAAATGTATAGCAACTTGAATAAAATTATAGAAAAAAATTATAACCTCGATAATCTAAATTAATGCAATTAAATACCGTGCACCAAATGGGTTGTCTTCGCGGGGAGGCCCGTGTGGATTATTCGGCACATTATTCAGTATCGGTCTTATGGTCAAAATCCGAGTCCACGCCCATAATTGCAATAGAAGAAGACAACCCCCAGGTTCGCGGGTTAGTCTTCAACGCAGCCTTACAGAGCGAAAAATTTAATCGCGCTAATACTGCAGAGCCCCAACTAAAAGTAGATGTTTCATTAAAATCTCGTAAGTATCTTACGAAATCAATTGGTGCGTACATACCCGAAGAATCTGGAAATAATAAACCACCCATATAAGCATATATGAGTCTAGCGGTATATTGAGCCACCATCTGATCAGGCCATTCATTATTTGGTTGAATGGTTTGTCCCTCAAAAAGAAAGGCAATCTTGAATNTGCAGAGCCCCAACTAAAAGTAGATGTTTCATTAAAATCTCGTAAGTATCTTACGAAATCAATTGGTGCGTACATACCCGAAGAATCTGGAAATAATAAACCACCCATATAAGCATATATGAGTCTAGCGGTATATTGAGCCACCATCTGATCAGGCCATTCATTATTTGGTTGAATGGTTTGTCCCTCAAAAAGAAAGGCAATCTTGAATAGGTCAAAACGACCAAAATGGGTGTCTTCGGTGTTCCACATCAAAACATCTCTAAATAAGACATTCCGTTCCTCAACAGTTAAATCAAAGCCCATGACGGGGAGTCCATCAATCGGAAGTCCTAGTAAGCATTCCACGTCCTGTAAGGTGATACCCATCTCACCAAAAGGAAACTGAAATGCGTGTAACTCCGGTCTCCAGCGCTCAACAAGAGAAGTGATTAGACCATGGTCTAATCGGATAGGTTGCACACGGTGCACTCCATAAAACCCTGATCGGTGCAACATCTCATAAACTCTATCCTCAAAAAAAACTGTAGGGAGACTACCTTCGTAGCGAACCGGAGAGACTTTGTTGTCTATAAAATTCGGGTTATGCCAAACCTCATGCGAACGATGTGTAGCTTGTAAAGTAAGAATGTCCCTCGATCTAGGACCCGCAATTTCTCTCTCAGGATCATACATTATGCTTCAAAAAAAATTGTAGTAAGCTTCTATTTACTCATAGTACAATAAAATGGTTAAAAAAATCTTGTTTAAAAAAATATGCATTACATATTGTAAAATTAAAAAAAATGCATTTCAAATTGTAAAATTTAAAAAAAAATATGCATTACAAATTGTAAAAAAAATATGTATTACATATTTAAAAAACTTATAAAGAATTATTCTAAGAAAACATACCTCAACTTCTTGGATGATTATGGAAGAATAGATAAATTTTAAATATTTAGTGAGAAAAGAAGAAAAAGAATGTGAGATGTAATTGAAGTGATTATGTATTTTGTGTAAAAAGAAGGAAGAGATTTGATTATTTGTAGTGGAATTGGGAGGGGTAGTAGTTGAAGGGATTAAGTGTGTGAATAGGGAGAGGTGGAGTGTGAAAGGGAGAAAGGGGAGGGGGGAGGACTGCGCATGCACCCACTACGCAGGGGGGACTGTTCATGCATTAAATTTGCACACTTCCTGAAATGGCTTTTCAAAAGCCGAAAAAAAAATTCAAAAAAAAAAAGAAAATGGCTTTATGAAAGCCGAAATCCATTAAAAAAAAATAAAATAAAAATCGGATTGCCAAAAGCCGATTTTCCTTCTCAGGAATTTACCGTTCCCACCCAGGAATTATATTCGAAATTTTTTCCCTCTTAGGGAAACCACCCGTTTTTGTGGAGGGCCGTCCCAATTAATTCCCTTTTTCGAACTTTTGGTACTCAAGTAAAATATTCTGGATACAAATACTCAAAATTATACTCCCTAATAACATACGGACTACAAAATACTAAGATTTTGTTTGGTATACGAAATTCAAATTAAAAAATTAAAATTAGAAATATTAATTTCAATTTTATAGTTTGATAGCATAAAAAATGTGAATTTGGATTTGATAGCGCCAAAAATGAATTGGAATTGAGAAATTCAATTCCATTCAAATTAATTCCATAAAATTTCAATTCTCAATTCAATTTCAATTATGTCAATTCCGTGTACCAAACGGATCCTAAAATGTGATGAACTTATTTTATTTTATGGAATAATAAAGAAAAGTATGTAAGTTTTTAAATTGTTTTTCACATCCTTTAATCATAAAAGTTTCTTATGTTTTTGATTTTTAGGCAAACAGTGACATTATTTGAGTATAAATTAAAAACAAAATATCCTTAATTATTATATAAATTCAATATATATTTTTGATATATCACATTTTATATCATTTATTTATTTATTTAGATTTTATTTAATTTATAATTAAAAAAATATCACAATTTAATTAAAAAAATCAAAATAAGAAAAGTTTTTAGTATGAGTGGAGTATTTATTTAAAAGAGAAATGCCACAATGTCATTGCAGCCACTACACTACACCGCCATCGCAGTTATAGGTTGAAACCCGAGTGACTGGCGATCCATCACGGCACTACCACCACACCACAACACAATGTCATTCGTCAAACTTTCACATTACCATTACACTCTTATTAACATTATTTGATAATTTAATGGGAGAAAGCTCGTCTGTCACAAATCACCACATTGATTTGTGAGGAAGCAAACCTCTACAGAGAGGAGCAGCAGCAGAGCAGAGCAGAGCAGGAAGGAGATGAAATGAACGGAGGAAGGGGCCTTCAATTCTGAAGAGAGATCCAATTGATGTCGGGTGGAGGTGCTGGCGGCGGCGGCGGCGGCGTTCCTCCCCAAACACTGGGCGGCCATTCTCGGTGCGGGTGGGTTCTGGGCCCCTCCTTGGACAAGATCATCAAGAACGTTTCCTGGAGGAAGCACTCTCAGCTGGTCACCGCCTGCAAATCCGCCCTCGACAAGCTCGATTCTCTGGTCGACGACCCCCTCGATCCCGCTTCCTGCTCCCCTCTCTACGGCATCTCCTCCCCAGATGATGCTGATTTCGTCCTCCACCCCATCATCCTCGCCCTCGACTCTGCCTCCCCTAAGGTTGTGGAGCCAGCTCTCGACTGCGCCTTCCGCTTGTTCTCTTTCGGCATTATCCGCTGCGAGATCGAGGTTGGAACGCCGCCTCCCCTCATCTTCCGCATCATCGATTCCGTCTGCAAGTGCGGCGGCTCTCTAGATGACGAGGCCGTCGAGCTTGGCCTTCTTCGCGTCCTCCTCTCTGCTGTCCGATCCCCCTACGTCATTATTAGGGGCGATTGCCTTGTCCACATTGTCAGGTCCTGTTATAATGTTTACCTGGGTGGCTTGAACGGCACCAATCAGATCTGCGCCAAGTCTGTCCTAGCTCAAATGATGGTCCTCGTTTTCACTAGGGTCGAGGAGGACTCCATGGCCATCCTCTCCAAGACTGTTTCTGTAGCTGATCTCTTGGAGTTCACCGACAGAAATTTGAACGAGGGCAGTTCTATTCAGTTTGCTCAAGATTTTATCAACGAGATCATGGACACCAAAGCCAAGGAAGTACTTCCTGATTCCAAGCTCTCCCTGTTATTGGAGAATGGTGACATTAAAAAAAGCAAAGGTGATATGGTAGATGATGAGTCAAGGGAAGGGGCTGGTCTTGACCTCTACAGCAAGATCCGTGAGGATGGGTTCATGCTTTTCAAGAATTTATGCAAATTGTCCATGAAATTTTCGTCACCAGAGCACACTGACGATCAAATTCTGCTAAGAGGGAAAATACTTTCATTAGAGCTCCTCAAGGTTGTCATGGATAATTCAGGCCCAATTTGGCTCTCCGATGAGAGGCTAGTATTGAATTAAGCCATATAGATTGCACCACATCCTCATTTGTCTTGATCATGTTTACTCGCTTTAGTTTGAATGATAAAAACTTATTTATTCTAGAATTCTAGCTAAATTTAATAGCATAAAGAACAATCTCTTTAGCTAATTGGAAATTTGATTACATTTTGTGCAAATGCATTCTTGTTATCTCATATACACAAGGAAAAATGCTGCAGCCACTATGCTACCAGAGATTTGCACACATGTCTATTCATTGTGATACCAGGACATGAGCTTGACAAAATGCCGGTGTAGGTTCTGTAGACATGTACTCGATTTAAATAATTACGGTTTAGGGGATGCTTGAAAAAACAAGTGTAGGAAGGTACTACTTAGCTAAATGGATGTCACATTTACTATTCTGTTGTCAAATTGCATCTTCTTTGTTTCTGTATAAAATTTATTTTTATTAGTTACTCCGTAATAAATAGTCAAGTCATCTCATTTAAATTTTTAAACATTAAGTTAAAATAACTTCAACAAACCCTCATTATATGAACCAGACAACCAGACAATCATTCGGGACGGAAGGACTATTTGTAATCCAAGCTATCTTTGGGAGTTATAAGTTAGTATATCCCTACGCTGTTTCATTTTTCATTTTTAATTTTTAGAGTAATCATACCTCAAACTCACAAAGTAATACTAATTACATAGTAGAAGATGCTGTCTTCTTGGAGATCTTACATGTTTTCTCTTCACACAGGTTTTTAAATGCTATCAAGCAGTTTCTTTGCTTATCATTGTTGAAGAACAGTGCACTGTCTGTTATGACTATTTTTCAGCTCCTTTGTTCAATATTCGAGAATCTATTATCAAAATATAGGCCCGGATTAAAATCTGAAATTGGAATCTTCTTTCCTATGTTGATCCTACGTGTGCTAGAGAATGTGCTCCAGCCTAGTTTCCTCCAGAAGATGACAGTTCTGAGCTTACTGGATAAAATTTCTCAAGATCCTAAGATTATAGTTGACATTTTTGTCAACTATGATTGTGATGTGGATGCTCCAAACATATTTGAAAGGTAACCATAAGGCCGTTATGCTTATATTTCTAATGATCATAGTTTCATCTAGGCATTATGCACCAGTGTTTCAATTTATTGTTTTCTACTATCCTTTTTGTATTTTCAATCCCTGGGATTAACTGTCCCACATTCCAAGTTTCTTCCGCTCTTTGAGTTAGCCCATTCTCAAATGTTCCGAATATGGATGGACCCAGCACCCAAACCCATCCCTTTAAACTAAACTAGGTATGGATTAGATCATTTGATTGGATTGTTAAATGTGTACATTTGATTGGGTGTGTAATGGATGCAAATAAAGAATAGTGAGGGGTTTTATGTTGAGTTCTCTCAAGTTCCTTTATGTAATGTTTGGGAACTAGAATTTGAATTTTGAAGTTGCAAAGACGGAGACAGAAGCAGGTTGATATGTATGGAATTGTTGTTGCATAAGGATTAGTTGTAAGTTGTAACCTAAAGAAAAGTTAGGCTTGGATTTATAAACGAGGAGGGGGGGGTGTGGATTTGTAATTGAGTTTGTTTTGAATTAGAAGAATTTTGTCCAAATCCAAAGCCAAAATCTTTGAATTCCCAAACAAGGTAATTTGTATCAAATCCGGGTTCAAAATCCAAATTTAAGTACCCAAACATATCATTAATAAATTCGAGCTTATGATCCCAGACAAAACTTCTTGTCAAATAGCAACACAAAGCAAGGAACTAAGAATGCAAGTTATGGCATAGTTCGTAAAATTTTCAAGGTAGTGAAATCTGCCATATTTAATTGACTCCCAAGAATACCTCATTTGTTGCATGTTCTTGATCTTTCCGATTTAGAGATATGCTTCCACCTTCCGCGAATGGCACTTCTGACTCGTGTACTTATCATCACTCCTTTGTGCAACAACAAGCTTTTCTGCAAGATTGACAAAAGGAACACGGCATACTTTAAGAAAGTATTTCCAGTCTTAAAAATCATGTTGAGAATACAGATGATTAATAATGTCTCCTTGTTTTTTAATATTTCCCCCCATTTTTTTTTTGGCAATAATTCAGCGAGTTCTACAATTTCAGCATTTTTTGCCAAATTGACTCTCATCAATGATCAAACATGCTTATATATCTCCTTGCTTGAGTTTGTATTACGTTACTAATCATAAATACACATGTTTGTGAATGCATGCAATGCAGAACTGTCAATGGCCTCCACAAAACGGCATTGGGCCCACCTCCTGGCTCGGCTACCACTCTATCTCCAGCCCAAGATTTGACATTTCGGCTTGAATCAGTGAAGTGCTTAGTCAGAATTATAAACTCCATGGGTACATGGATGGATTCCCAACTAAAATTAGGGGAATCTAATCCAGCGAAGTTCTCTGGTAATGATAGCATGATTGAAAATATTGCTGCACCCAATGAAGATGGTAACCTGCCCGACTATGATCTACATTTAGAGGAGAGTTCTGAATTCTCTAATGCTGTTACCTTGGAGCAAAGGCGTGCTTATAAACTGGAAATACAGGTCTATCAACCGTAGTCTTAAAAATCTGAGTGTCTCTGTATCATTTTTATGTTTTCTTAAAAATCCTAAAGTACTTGTATATGATTTTGTTTTGTTAAGAGAGAAGCTAAAAATGTTGGCATCTTTGCTTTCATTTTTAATGTAACAGTTAGTATAGTAATGTTAAAATGCTACTGGTCATGATGCTACCGGATCAAACAAGGGTCAAGTGTGGGCTGCCATTGGATGTGGTTGGGACGGGTTGTGGTGAGATTGTGTAGGAGTATGTTTTTTTATGTGTACAGGTTCCGAAAACAAAAACGTTAATTTTTTTGCATGTTGCATATTCTGTTTTTCAGCACTTTTTATTGGAGAACTGCTCAAGTTTCTTTTTCGTTTTATGAAATAGGAAGCTATTTGAAATCCAAATGTTTTCTTAATGTACACAAACTAGTGCAAGAGATAAGTACTTGTGGCATTAACTATCAAGCGGCAGGGGTAGTGGGGGCTGGGAGTTAGTTGTGCTGAATGTACAGACTAATTGTTACCAAACAACCGAAACTTTTAATATTATACACACATATATCTGTGTGTGTTTGTGTGTTTGTGCTTCTTTAATTGCTCATTGTCTCATATAGTTATCTCATTCTCTTGCAAATTGTGGTTGTAGAAAGGCGTATCTCTGTTCAACAGAAAGCCTTCAAAAGGGATTGAATTCCTAATGAATACAAGAAAGATTGGTAATTCCCCTGAAGAAGTAGTTTCTTTCCTGAAGAACACTTCTGGACTAAATGCCACCATGATTGGTGATTATTTGGGTGAGAGGGATGAATTTGCCTTGAAGGTTATGCACGCATATGTTGATTCATTTAACTTTGAACAAATGAACTTTGGAGAAGCAATCAGATATTTCCTACGAGGTTTCAGATTGCCTGGTGAAGCCCAGAAAATAGACCGTATAATGGAAAAATTTGCTGAGCGCTACTGTAAATGCAATCCAAATTCTTTCACAAGCGCTGAAACTGCGTATGTCCTTGCTTACTCAGTGATAATGCTTAACACTGATGCACACAATAGCATGGTGAAGGATAAGGTGAGCTTGTTGAAAATCTTGTTCATTTCCTCATAACTTGATAATGCAATTTTATGGATTAATCCATTTTCTTGGTTGAGAAACACGTAGTTTTAACACTTTTTTTAACACATTCTCATTCTGGAGCATTTATACCATATGCTCCGAGTTTATTCCAAATCTTGTATTGGAACATATACTAGAAACTTTATTTTTACATAAATTTGATGGACTTCAGTTTACTTTTATAGTTCTGTTGGATTCTACTGAGCTATACTATATTTTATTGTATACTTGTATTGAGCTTTACATTTATTATACTCGATGGAGCTTTACCTGAATTGACTAACACTCTACTGAGTAGCTTAACTTTAGTGAGCTCTACCTTACAGAACTCTACTGAGCTGTGTTTTTTATTGATTTTTTTGAGCTCTGCTTTACTTTGCTAAACTCTACTCTATCTTATTGAACCCTACTGATTGCTGATTTCCTTTATTGACCTCTGCTGAGCCGTGTTATGCTTTATTGAGCTCTATTAAGCTTTTCATTACTGTATTGAACTCTAGTGATCACTGTTTTGCTTCACTGGATCTTGCCTTCTTAGTTTGGGGAGAAGTACTGGTCTTGATTCATCAAAACATAGGCTGGAGATGCTTTGAATAATGTGGTCTGTGGACGTCTATAGTTCACAACCAGGAGAGAGATGGAAAACACCATTAGGATTCCAGCTATATTGAACTCTAATGAGCTATAATGAGAGGCTTACAAACAGAAAAGCTATATTTAGACAATATATTCCTCAGGTTAGGGCATGCAAGGTCTGATTGTCTGGATAGAGGTTTTCTGGAAAGACGGACCGATGGGGGTGTCAGGTGGTGGTGATTTTTTTACTGAGGTAATTTTGTGGTCTTTTGAGAGGCCTGGTATGGTTGATTTGTCAAAACATAGGTTGGGGATGCTTTGAATAATGTGGATGTCTACTGTTCATAACAAGGAGAGAGATAGAAAACACCATTAGGGTTCACATGGAATATTTTAACCAGGGATTCTGGTTTCATGTCAAAATTACAAAACTACATTTTTATTGGTGTTGAGAAATAATAAGGCTAAAATGCTAAACCCAATACGAATGAAACCCCAATGTTTTTAAAACTAGGGCTCTACTTACACATTACAACACATAACTCTTTAGCAATTGCCCCGAATGAGTCAATAAATGGATCAATTTAGATCATGGTGATGTTTCAAAAGAAAACCTTCATCATTTGTTGATTCATATTCTTAATTTAAGTTGTATTTACATAATATCTAAGATACCTAGAATCAAATACATACTCCCTCTGCCCTAATTGGATCCCTAATTGGATCTCTCACTTACCTTATTTACAACAACAACGCAATAGAATCCCATAAAAGTAGAGAGGTTGTTTCCAAGAGCCCCCCCCCCAGCTCGAGCAATATAGAAATCACAGAGCACAAATAATAATAATAATAATAATAATAATAATAATAATAATAATAATAATAATAATAAAAGGAGCAAATTAAGGGCAAGAAGAATGCAAGGAGACAAAAGTTACACAAGCAGTCGTAGCAAAAAGACCCCAAACTTAGAAAACATCCAACTATCNACTTACCTTATTTACAACAACAACAATGCAGTAGAATCCCATAAAAGTAGAGAGGTTGTTTCCAAGAGCCCCCCCCCCAGCTCGAGCAATATAGAAATCACAGAGCACAAATAATAATAATAATAATAATAATAATAATAATAATAATAATAATAATAATAATAAAAGGAGCAAATTAAGGGCAAGAAGAATGCAAGGAGACAAAAGTTACACAAGCAGTCGTAGCAAAAAGACCCCAAACTTAGAAAACATCCAACTATCACCCCGTACCAAACGACTAGTCGACTGCCCAACTACTCTAATCCTATATCTCCACATGCTCCTATCTAAGGGCATATTCTCATTAAGGGTTAGGAGTCTTAAGTCCAGTCTAATCACCTCCTTCTAATTATTCCTAGGCCTACCATTCCGGCCTTTCCCCACCCCAGCCACTATCGCAAGCCTATCACATCTTTGCATCGGTGCCTCCACGCTACGTTGCATCACATGACCAAACCATCTCAGCCTAGCCCCTTGTAGTGGATCCTCCACGGGTGTCACTCTCACTTGTCCCTGACTCCCCGAATAACCTCATTCTCAATCTTATCCACCTCATTTGTTCACTCATCCATCGCAACATTTGCATCTCTGCCACATGTAGTTGACTAACGTGGACTTTCAAGCTTCCCACTTACCTCATTTGAGCATCCCAAAATAAGGTTTCCTTTCTTTCTTAGGAAACATTAGGATGTACGATATTTTTTCTAACTTTCCAAAATAGATCTTAACCCCACAAATTACTTTTAAAATTTTGTGCCCATTTCTTACGGGAACCTTCATATGGGACGAATGGAGTACATGGCATGTTTTGAATTCCTTCACATGTTCCTGAACCCTCCCTCTTAAGCTTTAGAACTGGAGCATATACATCATATCCCCCCCCCCCCCCCCCTCATTGTTTGGGTGGGGGAGGGGATCAAGGTATACGATTTCATCCTTAAAGTCAAGGATGAAATAGAAAATAAGAGAAGACCCGAATGGAGTTGGGATTCTGGGGTTGGTTGTTGTTTACGCATTGTACTTTATGCATTTTCATTGTCCTATATTGCAACATTATATTATAAACTTACGTGCTTGGTGTGTGTGCCCACTGCCCACATGTGCATGGGATAAATGCTGTTCTGACTTCTTGCCTTTACCGGTTTTGCCTTCTAGATGACTAAAGCTGATTTCATCAGGAATAACCGTGGAATTGACAATGGAAAAGACTTGCCCGAAGATTATTTGGGTGACCTGTATGATCAAATTGTGAAAAATGAAATTAAGATGAGTGCAGATTCTACTGCACAACAAAGCAAACAAGGCAATAGCCTGAACAAACTTTTGGGCTTAGAAGGTATACTGAATTTAGTTTGGAAGCAGACTGAAGAAAAGCCACTGGGCACAAATGGAGATCTTATAAGGCATATACAAGAGCAGTTCAAAGCTAAATCTGCTAAATCAGAGTGAGATTCTACAGTTTTATATTGAATGAAAGTATTTTACTTTTTGGTCCCACGACTATCATGTCATTTTTGCTTTTGTTCACCCAATTTCATTTTTTCTACTTTGGGTGCACAACTATATATTGGAAACAGCTGCTCTATGTCTTAAACATAGTGGTCAGGCTGCGTACATCCGACCCCCTTACCCCGCAATGGGCGGGAGCCTTTGAGGAACTGGAGTAATGTTGTTGTTTGTTGGGCGCACAACTATATATTTGTTACCATTTTTTCTTATGAGTTCTAATAACTAATCCCATGGAAAAATCAACCTGAAATCATACGGAAACTAATCGGATAAGTGTTTGGGACTTGGAAGGACCACACGTAGTAAGAAAACCGTAATTGTGCAGAATTTGATAAAATGAAAGTCAGGAACCAAATGTGAAAATGACCTAATAGTCGTGGGCTCAGAGGTTGAAGATTTTCATTTTGAAATGTATGTTTTGTAAACTGAGGTGTTTGAATGGCAATTGACATGAGAACTTTTTCTCTCATGCTTCCATTTATAATACTCCCTCTGTCCCATAAAAAACTTCTCAGTTTGACTTTCACAGAGTTTGAGAGAAGTGTTGAAAATGTGAAAAAGGTTTGGTTAGAATTGGTTAAGATGAGGAAAAAAATTTAGCCACAAATTCTTAACTTTAAAAGGAAAAAGAAGTGTTTTTGGGGGGATGGACAATAGGAAAGTGAGAAGATTTTTATAGGACAGCGGAAGTATATCCTCTATTATTGAGCACCAATTCTTTAGTTTCATTCTCCTAGGTTTCCTTTATACATTCTGAAGAGTTTCAAAAAAATAGTTTGATTGGTTTATTCTTTATTATATAAACCATCTTCCACTGCAGGTCTATTTTTTATAGTGTTTCCAATCCAGCAATATTGAAGTTTATGGTTGAAGTTTGCTGGGGCCCAATGCTTGCTGCATTTAGTGTAACACTAGACCAGAGTGATGACAAGACTGCGACCTCTCTGTGCTTGAAGGGCTTCCGACATGCAGTGCATGTTACTGCAATCATGGGTATGCAGACACAGAGAGATGCATTTGTTACAACTGTTGCTAAATTCACGTATCTCCATTGCGCGGCAGATATGAAACAAAAGAATGTCGACACTGTTAAAGTAATTTTTTCTTATCTTTTTATTGTCTTTGGAGATCATAATCGTACAACAACAACAACAACAACAACAACAAACCCAGTATAATCCCATTTCACAATACAAAGTAGGAAAATTCACTCTTTCCAAGTGTGCTAATAGTTAAGATCCTAAAATTTATAAATGACTGCTTATTGAATTCACCGAAGTTATTTCTTTTATCTTTCTCGTACTTTAAAAATGCAGTTGACATTAGATTTATAATGGGAGACCTTTCCACTAAATAAATGGAAAAGCTCAAGGTTGGGTTCTCCCTTTCTCTTGCAGTTAATCCTTCTAGGTACATTTCCATCGTTAATTTCCATATCAGAGTCATGCCTAAGTAACTTCCTTATGTAACTTGCAATTGAAACCAAAATTACATACTTACATCTATTGTTCCAAAAGGTGAAATTGCTCACCCCGGGTGCCCCTCACCCCCTGCCCGCCCGATGGGATTGTGAGAGGAGGTAAATCATGGTGACTCAACTGGAAACACCTGTGCTCACTGCGCCCAAGGAGCCCCCCTCAATTTTTGAGAGGTTGCTCCCACAGTGCCGTTAGTGAGGCTCGATCCATGGTCTCTTGTTCCAAACTCCAGCTCCCAGTTGAGCTGCCCGTGTGGGCACCAAAGTTGCATCTATAATGCATAAGTAACTGGCCTTATGTACTTTCTGATCAAACAATTGAAATCTATTTGGAAGTTTCAACTAGTGCTTTGCTTTGTAGGCAATAATATCCATTGCCATTGAAGATGGCGATTTCCTTCAAGAAGCTTGGGAACATATTTTAACATGTCTATCTAGATTTGAGCATCTACAACTGTTGGGAGAGGGTGCACCATCTGATGCATCCTTTCTTACAACTGCAAGTGCTGAAACTGAAGAGAAATCCTTGAAGTCGGCAAGCTTGAAGAGAAAAGGAACCCTGCAGAATCCAGCTGTAGCTGCTGTTGTTCGTGGGGGCTCATATGATAGCACAACACATGGAGTTAACTCTCCAGTGCTTGTTTCTCCAGAGCAAATAAACAACTTCATTTCAAACTTGAATCTACTTGATCAGATTGGGAGTTTTGAACTTAACCACATCTTTGCTCACAGCCAAAGATTAAACAGTGAAGCGATAGTGGCTTTTGTTAGAGCTCTTTGCAAAGTTTCAATGTCAGAATTACAATCTCCAACTGACCCTCGTGTATTCAGCCTTACAAAGATGGTTGAAGTTGCGTAAGACTCTTTCCTTGAATTTAGAACATATTGCCTTTTAGACTAGCCTTCTTTACAGTACTCTCTGAAGATTGATGGGATGAATGATACATAACCACTTTTTTTCTTGTTTCTTTGTGTGCAGGCACTATAATATGAGCCGCATTAGATTAGTATGGTCTCGCATATGGTGTGTTCTTTCCGATTTTTTTGTGGCTGTTGGTCTGTCAGAAAATCTTTCTGTTGCAATTTTTGTTATGGACTCACTGCGGCAGCTTGCTATGAAATTCCTTGAGCGAGAAGAGCTTGCAAACTATAATTTCCAAAATGAATTTTTGAGACCATTTGTGACTGTTATGCAAAAAAGCAACTCGTCTGAAATCAGGGAGTTAATTGTTCGGTGTATCTCACAAATGGTGCTTAGTCGCGTCAACCATGTAAAATCCGGATGGAAGAGTGTTTTTATGGTAATGATGAATTTAAAAAAACATAACTTTAATTAAATTTTTGTTATTTATATTTGCTGCTTTCATTTGTTGCAAGGAAGGCATTGGTTTCACCGAATTTAATGCCTATACAATGAGTAAAAATGATTCAGTTAACTTTCTTCTAGGAAACAATAGTTGAGAATCCTTGAATGCTTGAATAGTCTAATATTTATTGTTCTTCAGAAATGTTGGTGATGCATTGATCTATCCGTGTCTCTATGTTTCACCTTAAAATGGTTTTTTTAATTGTGTAGTTTGTATGAGCCTCTTTCTTTTTGAAACTGCCTTATTCATGGAAAATCTTTGCTCCCTCATAGATCTATTGATCATATTATTTGTATAGATTAATTTGAAAGAAGTTCAGTCTCAAAAGACTTGTATTTCCATTTCCACATTTTGTATATTGTCACATGAGTCTATACAGTAAAATTTTGTTGCTTAGATGAGGTTTAGATTACCACTTCTTTTAAGTCACTTCAAAATTGTTCAAATACTCATTCTTGATTCTTGGTTATTTCATTTCTTCTAAAGCTTGAACTAATGCTTGTCTAAATGTCCACTTTTCAGGTGTTTGCTGCTGCTGCTGCTGATGAAAGGAAGAACATAGTGTTACTAGCTTTTGAAACCATGGAAAAGATTGTACGAGAATATTTTCCTTACATAACTGAAACAGAAACTGTAACTTTCACTGATTGTGTCAGATGCCTTATTGCATTCACAAACAGTAGATTTAATAGCGATGTTAGCCTCAACGCAATTGCTTTTCTCCGTTTCTGCGCTCAGTTTGAACGTCTACCTCCTGAACAAACGTTACTCTTTTCACATCTTTTACTATACGGATAAGTCCGTCGTTTGTTGTTATGAAGTCTACATTTTACAAGGTGTTTTCTTCTACCGATGTACAGCAAGACCGTAGGAGATGAGTGTCCATCACAAGAGACTCAAAATCCCTAAAACACCCACCCCCACACCCCAATGGGTTTAGCTGGCAAAATGATTCAAGAATCTTATGGTGTCTGCATTTTTTATTTTCCATTTGCTATATTCAATCACCTTTGAGTCTTCTACATTTTACTCCATGCAGAGACGTTATCTGTATTATTGTTAATCTCGTGGTGTTCTAACTTTTCTTTTGATTATATGCATCATTTTTTAAGAAATCTGTTGCTTTGAACTTTTCGTCTGGGTACCCCTATAATTATTTCTAATGACACTATTATTTTCAATCTCAGGATTATCTGGTCTGTCATCAGACCCTCGGTTGGCCATCAGGAAGAGTGCTCTTGAGGTTCTCTTTAATATTTTAAAAGACCATGGCCATCTCTTCTCTCACTTGTTTTGGGATAGTGTTTTCAATTCTGTCATCTTCCCAATATTTAATTCTGCTCGTGATAAAACTGAAGCAGAATTTAAGGATTACCAATCTTCCCCAAGATCTGGATCTTTGCAAATGGATAGACAGTTGTGGGACTCTGAAACTTCTGCAGTGGCGGCTCAATGCCTGGCTGATCTATTCATTAATTTCTTTGATGTGGGCAGGTCTCAGCTTCCTGGCGTAGTGTCAATACTAGTGGGATTTATAAGAAGTCCTGGCCAAGGCCCTGCAAGTACTGGTGTATCTTCACTAATGCATTTGGCTGGTGAGTTGAGAGGCAGGCTTTCAGAAGAGGAGTGGCAAGAGATCTTTCTTGCTTTGCAAGATGCTGCTGCTTCTAGTGTGCCCAATTTCTTAAAGCTCTTGCAAACAATGAGCAGCTTTGATATGTCTGATATTAGCGAGTCCAATAATGATGTGGAATCATCAGATGAAGTTGGGTCATCTAATGACTATGAGGGTGACAATCTGCAAATGGTTGGGTATGTTGTATCAAGGATGAAAGGTCATATAGGTACACAACTACTCATTTTGCAGGTATGGTATCTTTTATGGTCTGTTTTAGTATATGCGTATGTGCAAATTCTTTAGAACATTCCATATCTTAATCTAGCTTCTCATTTGTCATTTGTGTGATTTCTCATGCTTCCCTTTGTAAGTAAATTCTTAGACATGTTTTTTTAGTGGAATTTGCTGAGAATATGTTGTATAATTTTCTCTACTCTCAATTTGTAGGTAGCTACTGATCTCTGTAAGATGCGCCGTCAGTCACTGAGTGCTGCCACTGTAACAATCCTTCTTGGGATTTATTCATCTATCACCTCTCATTCTCACCAGCTAAAGTCGGATGGAATCCTAGAATTGAAGCTGCAGAGAGCATGCTCAATACTGGAGATCCCAGAACCACCATTATTGCACTTTGAAAACGAGTCATTTCAGAATTACATCAATTTCCTGCACGATTTGCTCGCTAATTACCCAGCATTGGGCAAGGAGAAAAATATAGAAGCAGAACTTGTGTCTGTATGCGAGAGAGTCCTGCGGATATACTTGGATTGTGCTGCTGGGGGGTTGCAGCAGCAGCAGCACCCAGGCAACAACAAGCAGCAGCAGAAGCTTCACTGGATTCTTCCCTTGGGCTCAGCCAAGAAGGAAGAATTGGCGGCTAGGACTCCTTTAGTTCTTTCCGTATTACATGTATTGAGTGCTTTGGAAGGTGATACTTTCAAAAAGTACGCTTCGCAGCTGTTTCCATTGTTGGTAGATCTTGTCCGGAGTGAGCATAGTTCTGGAGAAGTTCAGCAAGTTCTAAGTGGCGTGTTTCGTTCGTGCATAGGCCCATTAATAATAGTGAAAATGTGAAATTCCATTTTGTAAATTAGTACATATTTCTACTAGCCGGAGGACCATATTTATAGACGGGCTGAAATTTTGTCTAACAAATGCCGATGCCATAATCGTCCTGCTACACTGCTATCCGAAAGAAAATAACAATCAGTCAAGGAACAAAACGTACGTTGCCAGCACATGTTTGTTTGTTTGTTTTTCTTTTTTACATGGCAGCACATGTTTGTAAGTGAAGAACTCCCTCATTAATATTTGAGGAAGTTCATCACGAAAGATGATGTCGTCATCGGTGCTCAAAATCCTCAAATAAAGTGTGTCAAAGGTGGTATTGTTGTCCATAGACAAATCGATTGTTTTTTGATTTTTTTTAGGTAACATGTAAATATATTGATTTATCCAAAAATAACATGTAATACGGGAGGGGCATTTGATTTACTGACAAATCATCAAGTACAATACGGTACCGTGGACTTATACACCCCATAAAAAAGACAAAAGTAAAATTTGTACTAAATAGGATTAATAATGTTTAATGCGAGAAATAATGTTTGGTGGATATTTACCTGAATAATGATTAATAATGGATAATGACAAGTGATTTTATATTGAGAAATAAAAACAAATGATCGTTGTGTCCTAAATTCCCCATAAACTGGCAACACTGATAAAGTCAATGCGAAGGCAGACGCCGCCGGCGAACGGAAGCAGAATGAGTGGCGGAGGAGATCATTCTGGGTCTGGTCCAGCTGGTTTTGCCCAATCCTTCTTCGTCTGTCTGCTCTCCGTGCTTTCGGTGATAAACAAGGGGTCAGCTAGTGGATATTCGCCGGCTGCAGCGGCAGAAATCATATCGAGATTCCAGGAGTACCTCCGAATCGACACAGCCCAACCCAATCCGCGCTACGGAGAAGCGGCTGATTTCATCATCTCCCAGGCCAAGTCCCTGTCCCTCGAAGCCCAGACCATAGAATTCGTCAAGGGCAAGCCTCTAGTCCTCCTCAAATGGCCCGGCAAGGACCCGACCCTCCCCTCTGTCCTTCTAAATTCCCACACCGACGTCGTCCCTTCCGAGCCTCACAAGTGGTCTCACCCTCCCTTTGGCGCCCAACTCGATCACGCCACAGGCAACATCTATGCCAGGGGCTCCCAGGACATGAAGTGTGTCGGCCTCCAGTACCTGGAAGCTATTCGCAGCCTCAAGGATTCTGGATTCCGTCCAATCCGCACTGTTTACCTCTCCTTCGTTCCCGACGAGGAAATCGGCGGCCAGGACGGGGCTGAGAAATTCGCGAACTCCGACATCTTTCGGGAGATGAACGTTGGGGTTGTGCTGGACGAAGGTTTGGCTTCCCCCACGGGTAACTACCGGGCCTTCTACGGTGAGAGGTCCCCTTGGTGGCTGGTTATCAAGGCAGTTGGGGCCCCCGGACACGGTGCCAAGCTCTATGACAATACTGCTATGGAGAATCTTTTTAAGAGCATCGAAAGCATAAGGAGGTTCAGAGCTGCTCAGTTCGACTTGGTCAAGGCTGGCCTGAAGGCTGAAGGAGAGGTCATCTCTGTCAATATGGTGTTCCTGAGAGCTGGCACCCCTTCCCCCAATGTAAAAGTCCCTGATTTTTTATTATTTATGGGATGGATCCATGTAGATCTGGTTCATAACCTCTTTCTGCAGAGCACTGCGGGGTGTATAATTAATCACTCCAATGGGGCCAAGTGTATTCAGTTTGCCTATGCAGTTGTTCTCCAGTTATGATGCCACACTGTTGCGTTTTCTACTACGGAGTAGTATTTTATTCCCCTCATGGAGAGCTCTGTCTCTTGTTTGTTTTTTTTTTTTTTTGGGATGATCATCTTATGTCAAAGTGGACTGACCTGATTTGCATCTTACATTGATNGCCGAAGCAGGCTTTGATGTTCGAGTTCCACCGACTGCTGATCAGGCCTCATTGGAGAGGCAAATTGCTGAGGAATGGGCACCTGCTTCACGCAACATGACCTTTGAGGTATCTGAAGCCATATATGTGTCTGTCACCTAAAACAAGTACAAAATATATAACTTATAATGAAATATAAATAAAATGAAATAGCATTTTTTATGGCAATTTAATATTCCCATCACTTCATATGTTTTTCCCCATTTTTCTTTTGGGCCGTCCCATATATTTCTTCTCGTTTCCAAAAATATAAATAAAATGAAATAGACATTTTTGCCCTTAAAAGTACACCAATTTATTTCCTTTCCAGTCCAACTATTTCCTCTTCATTCTCGTGAACCTCTTGCCGCCGCTACCATACTCGCCCTTCACTCGTCGCTTCCGTATTTTTTTTAACCTGGAGCTCAATTGTAAACGGTAAACCCCACAATCATCTCAAAGAAAAACCTAGAAAACATTCCAACCCACCAAGTGAAATTTGCACTAAATAGTACTAAAACAAATGTTTTTCCCCAATGTAGTATCTAAACTTTTTATTTCCTAAATAGTATTTGAACAACGTCTAGTGGCGAGAACAATGTCAAGTGACGGTGGACATTTACTTTTAAAAATGTTCAGTGGCGGTGGATATTTACTTGAATACAGTGGACATTTACTTTTCATTGAATACAGTGGTACTAAATTGAGAAATTAATACATATGGTATTACATTGAAAACTTACTATGTTTTAGTACTATATAGGTGAATTCCCTAACGCTAATCGAAAATACTATTCCCAAACGGACCCGAGATCTACTCTCCCTCGGTAGAAGCTGCATCGCTCTTCGCCATGGGAAGAACCAACTTCGATAGAAGGATTATTTATTTATTTATACTCTAGGATAGAGGTGATATATTATATGGAATTCGACCAGGGTAGAAAATTATACTTTATACGGAGTAATAGAAGTTTTAGTACTAGAGTGTCAAGTGTTTTTTTGGAATATAAAATCTACACAGAAAAGATAATAACACTTGGACATAAGAGCCATAATTTTTGTAACATTACGTGGGAGAGTTTCTCAAATTTCCAATGCTAATGAAAACCATTTCATCCATTAGCTTTAGTGAAAAGACATGTATATTTGGCACAACACGCATATTCTTTCAAAATTTCCAATCGTTCTTATCATTGTTGTAACTTGACCAGTTCAAGGTGAAAGTATCCATACACGATAAATTTGGGAAACCTGCACTTACAGCTACAGACTGTTCTAATATTTGGTGGACGTTACTAGAGGAAGCTATCAAGGTTGCGAAAGAGAAACTCGGGAAACCAGAAATATTTCCTGCCTCGACAGATGCACGTTACTTTAGAGAGAGAGGCCTTACAGCTATTGGCTTTTCTCCCATGGCAAACACTCCGGTTCTCCTTCACAACCACAATGAGGTTAGCACTTTTGTTTCTATAAACTACACTCGTGGACTCTTGGTTAATAAGATCTATTTTGACTTTTGAGGCACACCCATTGTTTTATTGTTAATATGGTTTCTTTTGTAAGTAACACCTTTTATAATATACTTCTATTTCATTTGATTTGCAACTTATAATATGAACCATACTTTGACAAATAGATGTATTAGCAGTTTGAAAAAAATGTTTTGTAAACTAGACGTCATAATGACTTGTGGAGTTATGCACAAGGTTATACAATTATTTTAAAAAATAAATCATTACATATATATAGAAATGGGGCCTGTGTTTGTACATATATACTGCGGCATATGTATATACTAGTACTGTTTTTAATTTCTTGCAGGTTTTTATATACCCTCAATTGTAATTTGTATTGTATTCATAATTCCACAGTTTCTGAACAAAGATGAATATTTGAAAGGCGTTGGTGTTTACGAGTCAATAATCAAGGCATACACGTCTTTTGTTGATCACATGCGAGATGATGTTTCCAAAGCAGAGTTATGAGGACACACGAGACCTTATCAACAAGATTTAGTTTAAGGTAAATTATTACGTTAAGGGCCTTCTTAGTATCTATTAGTATTTGAATAAATTTGTAGAATCATTTATTTAATTTACTTCTTTATTATTTTCATTATGTAAGAAGGTTTAGGAAGCTGCTGTATTATTAGTTTATATCCCTTCAAAACTATACCTCATATTATTTGAATCACATAAACAACAAATATGATAAGAATCACAGTGATATGTGTTATAGTGTGATTCTTATCATATTTTTTGTGCAGTTGGAGCCGGGGGTCTCTTGGAAACAGCCTCTCTAATTCCGAGTAGGGGCAAGGTCTGCGTACACACATCCTCCCCAGACCCTACTGTAGTGGGATTCAACAGGGTTGTTGTTGTTGTTGTTGCGTCGAGAACTAGGGTACCATCACATGTTTTGCCCAAATTTTAAATTCATCAAAAAATTTCCCAAATTTGACATGGATATTTCTATTTGCATTTAAATCCTTTCTAAAAGTTTTATTCCAAAAAGATAATGTCTAAATTATACTCCCTCCGTCCGGATTTTAAGTTCCCAGTCTACGCTTTTTTCCGTCCGGAAATAAAGTTCCCAGTCTACGTTTTCATACTCAATCTTCCTAAATTACCCCTCCCTCATCCGTTCTCGTCATTCTCGGCCACAACACCACACAGGTATTTTCTCTCTCTTCCCTCCCCCTTTCCTCTTCCTTTCCCATCTCCCTTCCTCTTCCTTCCTCCTTTCCACTCTTTCTCTCTCTCTCCTCTCCCCTTCCTTTTCTTCTCCTCGTCATCTTCTTCCTCCTCTTCCTTCTTCTTCTTTCCATTCTTTTCTTGCTAGATCTAGCCTTCTTTTTGTCATTTTCTTCTTCTATTAGAGTTGGATCTCTATTTTTTCAGATCTAAAAATTTAGAGATCCATTTGTGCGGGGTTGCCGGCGATGGTGTCGGCGGCGGCGATGGTGGCGAGTGGAGCTGACGGCGGTGGCAATTTGCACCTCGAGATCTGTTTCCTCGGAAAGCTCTGGCGGCGGTTG